TACATTTGTATCTTTGGGGTAAATAACCAGTAGTGCGATTGCTGGGTTGTGGGGTAGCTCTATTTTCAACTTTTTGAGGAACCTCCATGCTGTTTTCCAGAGTGGCTGCAGCAGCTTGCATTCCCACCAATAGTGCAGGAGGGTTCCCCTTTCTCTGCATCCTTGCCAGCATCTGTCATTTCCTGACTTGTTAATTTTAGCCATTCTGACTGGTGTGAGGTGGTATCTCACTGAGGTTTTGATTTGTATTTCCCTGATGCCACGTGATGTGGAGCACTTTTTCATGTGTGTCTTGGCCATCTGGATGTCATCTTTGCAGAAATATCCATTCATGTCTTCTGCCCATTTAACTTCATTGGATTATTTGATCTTTGGGTGTTGAGTGTGGTAAGTTCTTTATAGATTCCGGATACTAGTCCTTTATCGGATATGTCTTTTGCAAATATCTCCTCCCATTCTGTCAGTTGTCTTTGGTTTTGTTGACTGTTTCCTTTGCTGTGCAGAAGCCTTTGATGCTGACTCAAATTCTGATCCAACACAAAGGGTTTATTTTTGCCTTCCCCTTCCTTCATCTCTGACCACACTCTGCAGCAGTGAGAAACTTGGCTCCCTAGATATTCCATGGATTTACTTACTTCCTTCACTTACCTGTGTGTAATCCATCTCCCATTTGTGCTCAAGCCAGACCTTGGCTCCCCACCCCCACTGGCCACACCAGAGCCAAATCCTCAGCCCCAACCCAAGGGCAGGGGAGGAAGGGGTGCAAATTAGCCTTAGTATCCTTGAATTAACAAGCTTTGTAAGCTCCTGGGGATCCTAAACGGCATTGCCCATGCTCACCTCCTTGCCAGCTTTGTCTTACTGCTGTCTTCCTTTCTCTGTGTCATTCTGGTTCGAATATTGTTGCTAGGGATGCGGACTGCAAACCCACCAGAAGACACCGCCTTGGTCGTTCCTCTGCGGAAACTGTTCTGCGGTCGCCTCTCTTCCTGGGTCACTTCACTGAACAGCAGGATGGGACCCCCAGCAGTAGTTCGCATGGCTCCCTGACATGCTTCTACAGTTCTTGGGCAGAAAGCTCACGCCACAGGGGCAGGGGTGAAAGATAACCATCCACACCGTAGTGTGGGTATTGTAAACTCAAAGCACAGTACAGCAGGTAGAGCTGGGCTTTGGAGTCTGACGTCTGCAAGTTCCGGTTTCAGCTCCAACGAGTTCTGTGACTTAAGGCAAGCTATATTACTTTCCTCAGCCTCAGTTTCGCCATTTACAAGATGGACGTAAGAATGCCTTCTCTTCAGGGCCATTGTGAGGACGTTGTATTTCTAATGCCCTGATTGTGGTGTATGGTGTGAAGGCAGGAAGCTTCCAGTGGTTTGCTGTGGGAATACAGAGGACTGTGTAAGTCAGACTGTACATCAGACTTCTCCAGTTCATGACTTCTGCCTTAGCCACATCCCCTCTTCCTCACATCCCCCCTTCCACACACCATGTTCTGTGCTCCCCTCTGACTCCAGGCCTTTATTCCCTCATCTGAGTCTGCTGCGAAATTTTTTCTCTAGTTTCCTTCGTCTGCAACAAATTGTTCATATCGTCTGTACTGCCAAATTATGATTTTATTGCTGTCTTGAAATTTAAATATCCTGAGCCTCAGGGTCCTAGCTCCCCAAATAGACCAAAGCTTCTGATGGGCCGATGCTATATCTTAACCCCCATACACAGAAACACCTTGATCAGGACTTGACCCTTTATAAACTCTTACTTGATTGTAATTATTTTGTGGTGTTAAAAAACACCTCCTCATGACTAGTCAGCGGCTCGATAGGCCACACACTCCTTTCTCCAGTAATCTTACAAGAAGGTCTCATCAGAACTCGGGCTAGTGTTTGGTACCTGGAAGAAAGGACAACCTTTGTTGTTGTTGTTGTTTTAGTTGAACTCATTTATATCTTATATGTGTGGCACCCAGAGCCTTGCACATATGAAGCGCTTAGTTGAAAATCAATTGGATTGGACCATCTGTGCTGTGACGCATTGATCACTCATTTTCCAGTGTCTCATATGGCAGAGAAGCATGGAGATGCAAAGAGTAGTGTGGTAAGGGAGGGAAGCTTACCCTGATGGGTTTGTATCTCATCCGCACAGAGAACAGTGTCCGAAATAACCTGGGAGACAGATTACAAAATATGGAGGATCTTCAGAGATTTTTTAAGTGGAAATTATCTTTATCTTCTATGAGCATGATTAATTTATGATCTGATTGATCGGATTGGCTCTGAAACACAAGACAAGGGGAGTAAGTATCCTGACCTCAACTAGTAGGGGAATCGGACTAAGTTGGTTAAAGTAAAAACACTTCAGAGCTCTGGCCCCTGTTTTTGTTGGCACTAGAGATTTGGCGATTAGAACCTCTCCTAAGAAGGCTCAAGTGCAACCTTTTGCTTTCTGTTGCATGTTCTCCTCCACTGCACCAGCCCCTGCCCCATCTCCACATACCCACCCTTCCGTTGCCATCCTTCGGAAACAGTGTGGGGGCTGTTCAGCTGGTATGTCTTGGGCACAGACATAACTAGATTAGCTTCACACATACGCGTGAGGAGTAGGCCTGGGGAGAGCAGAAGTGACAAACCTTATCCCTATTCTCAAGAGAGCATGTGATAACATATGAATCAGAGAAGATTCTAGTGTAGAGCAAGCCCCTTTCACCTTATGTACCAGCTTCAGCTCCTCAGTGACAGGCAAGAATGCTGTATCAAGAAGGCTTCTGAAATTACACCAAAAATCAATGAAAAAGAGAGCCCTTCTAGAGTCCCAGGATGGGAGAAGGTCATCATGTTTCTGGAACATTTGACATCCTTATGCTGGAGGGTAAAGTGTTAAAAAAATAATAATAATGAAGTGTGAGTGTGTCACAGATGACAGAAGTTGAAATTGAGACAGAGGGTTGGCGTGAATAGAAGCCATCTGGGCCAAGCCTACGGATGAGTGGAGAGGTGAAGGGGAACATCTTGGCCTGGGGAGGCATCCAGGCATCACAGGCGAGGGCCCAGAGTCAGGAACAGAGATGGGGCAGGGGGCAGTTAAGGTGAGTCGGGCTGGAGTGGAGGGGCCCTGTGCAGGTGGGATGGGCAGAGATGGCGAGGTGGCAAGGTGGGGCGGGCAGAGGTGGCGAGGAAAGGGGGCTGTGACCCTGCAGCTTTCCCAGGTTCTTAACGAGTTCCTTCCTGCTCACTGACCCATCACCACAAGGACCCAGCCCAGGCCTGAAGTTCTTTGAGGGCCGAGTGGTGACATCTGGGTATAATCAACTTTCAGTAGGAAAAGCTCTTGGGTAAAATGTCAAATTTTCTCCTATTCCTGCTAATTGATGCTGTGTGTGGTTCTTGTCTTGGTCTTCCTGTTATATAAATACATTTTGAAAGCACAGCTGGATTCCTGTAGCCTGAGACAGTAACCTAAAAAGACATAAAATGTCAAGGGGTGGGGACTCCTCCCATTCTTCGTACAGCTCAACAGTGTAGGAAACAATGAGTAGAGAGCCCTGCTGGACCCGAGCTGTGGTGACTCAGTATGACTGAGGCACACTCGGTGATGTTTGAGAGGGGAATGGGGGGACAGCTGCCACCATTTGTCACCATCGTGACCTGCAACAAGCCTGGGGCTGCCACACCCTGCCTTCTCCCAAGATTTTTTACACCTTCAATTCTCAAAGTTTTTAGGAGAAAAACTACATTAAAGGAGAAGGAAAATGTTAGAATCTTCTTTACCGTTTCTCCCTGCTCAGGTATCCGTCCCGTGGGCACATTCAGGTTAATGATAGCAGACTATTTGCTGACATCAGAACCTTTTTGTGTTTTCGGAGATGGGAAGGTAGAGTGGTTATAAGCATGAGGTTTGAGCCAGGTCGTTTGGTTTTGAATCCCGGGTCCCCTACCCCCTTGCTCTGTGACCCCAGACAAGGTCCTTAACTTTTCTGCTCCTTGCTTTTTGGAAAATGAGGACAGGAATACTATCTACTTTGTAAGGTTACTGGGAAGAGTGAGTGAAAAGTCAGTGAGAGGATGCTTCTAAAGTGCTGACGTGGGCACCTGGGTGGCTCATTGGGTTATGCCTTTGCCTTTGGCTCAGGTCATGATCTCAGGGTCCTGGGATCGAGCCCCACATTAGGCTCTCTGCTCAGCGGGGAGCCTGCTTCCCCCTCTCTATCTGCCTGCCTCTCTGCCTACTTATGATCTTTCTCTGTGTGTCAAATAGATAAATAAAATCTTTAAAAATAAAAAAAGAAATAAAAATAAAGTGCTGACATGGTGTGTGCCCGGGACATCATAAGTGTTCAGAAAATGATCACTATTGTTACTTAGGGTTTTCATCTGTGGAGAGGGGAGATGGTGCTGATAGGGTAGTAGGACCAGGGCAGGCATGCATTTATTTATTTATTTATTTATTTATTTTTAAAGATTTTTATTTATTTATTTATTTGACAGAGAGAGATCACAAGCAAACAGAGAGAAGGGCAGAGAGAGAGGGAAGCAGGCTCCCCGGTGAGCAGAGAGCCCGATGCGGGACCCGATCCCAGGACCCCGAGATCATGACCCAAGCCGAAGGCAGCGGCCCAACCCACTGAGCCACCCAGGTGCCCCCAGGGCAGGCATTTAAATGGTAGCTTCTAGGCTCAGCTGGGCCACTAAATTGTGTGACAAACTTTCTAGACCTTAATTTTTTCATCTCTTAGAGGGTCCCCTAATACCTTAGCTCCCCTCACAGAGGCTTGGGGTCAGATGTGATCGTGAAATGCCTGGAAAAAGTATAGAGCAGCACACAAGTAAATGCCAAATGTCCTTGCTGCTGCTATTGTCGGAGTGCTGGTGGTAGTTAATGAAGTTAGGGATGGAAATGGTCCAGCTTTAAATGTGAAGAGCATTAGGAATGGTTCACTGTGACAGGCAAGCACATTTGCTTTATGTTTCTTGAAATAACATCATAGACTTTCTTTCTCCTAGAAACCTTGGCGAGCTGATTGATCGGTTTGTGGCCGATTTCAAAGCCCAGGGGCCACCTAAGCCCAACACTGACGAAGGGGGTGCCGTGCTCCCCAGCTGTGCTGACCTCTTTGTCTACTACAAGAAGTGCATGGTACAGTGCTCCCAACTCAGTACTGGGGAGCCAATGATCGCCCTGACCACCATTTTCCAGAAGTACCTCCGAGAATATGCCTGGAAAATCCTCTCTGGCAATCTACCCAAGTGAGTGCCGTTCTTTCTGATCTCAGTGGGGAAGTAAGATTCTGAAAATGCCTAAGTATGGGAATCTAAGGAAATCTCCTCTGACATTGTTTACTGAACTGCTAAGAGTCTCAAGGAGGGAAACACTCTTACTGAGTTCCTGAGGGTCTGAGACTATTTCCTTTCTAATGGGATTCCACAGCTGATCAAGACCCTTAGAGGAAATGCCCACACTGGCTACCAACACAGGTCAGATCTTAACCACAGTGGACCCAAGGGAGTCGTTCCATTATGTATGTATTTAATTTATCTAGGTTCAACAATAGGTTGTTGGCCAAACAAGGTGAGGTGGTGGTAGCAATCACTCTTAAACAGCATGGGCAGTTTCATTCAATGAGAGCATACCCTGGGATGATGAGCACACGGAAGGCATGATTCTGCTTTTCCCTCGATCTGATTACATTCCAAAGTCTCTCTTATGGTGTGTGTCTTGTTGAATATAGTCTAATGTTTGAAGGTATGGTAGGATTTGGGGGGAGGGGGTTGCCTAGCACAGCCCCTAATTATAGTGGCTTCACTGTATTCTGGGACATTAGAATATTGCTATATTGCTTATTAATTGAAATTAATGACTGTTCGACTAAAGTTTAAAGATTTTTGGTTCTGGGGCACCTGGGTAGTTCAGTCAGTTAAATGTCTGACTCTCGATCTCAGCTTAGGATTTTATCTCAAGGTCGTGAATTGAGGCCCCACACTGGGTTCCCCGTTGGGCATGGAGCCAAAGATTTTTGGTTCTATAGCAATTTCGATTATGGTAGATTATGATCTAAAGTAATGCTTTGGAATTTAGTGTTTTTAATCATCCCCATGGCTAAATTCAGTAATTCTGAAAGTAGTTGCTGTTATTTTCACTAAAATGTGTCATATATGGGAGTTTTACATTATTTGGAGGAAAGAGAATAAAAGCCCTATGCTCTAACCAGAGATTTGAAGTAACAGATATATTTCACCAATGAAAATTTCTTTGACTATGATAAAAAACTTTTTTTTTTTAAAGATTTTATTTATTCATTTGACAGAGAGAGAGAGATCACAAGCAGGCAGGGAGGCAGGCAGAGAGAGAGGAGGAAGCAGGCCCTCCGCGGAGCAGAGAGCCCGATGCGGGGTTCGATCCCAGGACCCTGGGATCATGACCTGAGCCGAAGGCAGAGGCTTTAACCCACTGAGCCACCCAGGCGCCCCAATAAAAACATTTTTAAGATTCTTTAATAACTTTTATTCTGATCATCAAAATATTATAGTTCAGAAAACACAGAAAAGCAGAAAGATAGAAGTAAAGTTAACTATAATCTTACCACCCAGAGAAAACAAATTTAACCTTTTGGTATATGTTTTTCTGGTTTTTTATTTATAAATATAATGTGTGTGATTTTGTGGTTTTGTTTATTTAAGGGTATTGGGACTGTACTGCTTGGAGTTTTATACCCTGCTGCTTTCACTCAGCATCGTCCTGCCCCCGGCATTTTCCCCACGTGTCACAGCAGGAAACAAATGATGCACTCAGCTAGGGTATTGTTACCAAAGCAACTATTCACAGAAATGGGGCAAAGTGAAAGGAGCCAACAGAGGATTCTGAAGCATCCAGATACTAGGCGGTGATTGTTACTACTTTAAAACTCCCTTGAGAGCTGGGGCTGTGGACAAGTGGTTGCCACACAGAAAATGGAGAGCCACAGTCCCTGCCAGCCCCACATGGAAGCACAGGGAGTCGGAGGCCTTGTTAGGATTCAGACTTCTCTCTCCCCTACCTATCCACCTTCTTGTTGCAAGTCACCTCCTGGTGACTTGACTGAACCCAACAGGAGGCCAGAGGACCAGGGAGCCAGGGTGATAAGTCTGTAGAGGTCAGTTTCCTGAGCCACAGAGAAGGGAAGGGAAGAGTAACGAATGGATCTGGGAGGCCAGCAGAGAACATTCAGCACTTTTCATGATGTCGTGCTAATCCAGCATGCAGGAGAACCTCACTGAGCTTCTGACATTCTTACTGACCATTCTCTTACTTGATCATTTAGGTTGGGTTTACTACTTTAGTATTTTAAATAACACTCAGGAAAGCATCCTTGAACAGGAGTAGAACTACTGGGTCAAATATGTGAATGTGTCTTTTAAGCTCGTGAAATACACCTCCAGGAAGTTTGGACAGCTTCATGCCCCTGACCCATAGTGCAAGAGAGTGTCTGCACCCTTACACCCTTGTCAGTGCTGGAAATGAAGATATTTTCTAATCTGTGACTACAAGGAAGACCGGGCAGTTTTAAGGTTATTTTTTTGATGTTTTTAAGGTAAATGTCACTGAATTCTGTCTGCTTTGAAAAGAACTTAGACTCTCACAGTTGAAAGAGCAGGAGGTTTTATAACTCTTTCTACGTTTTGTGAACACGTGATTAGATCAGTAGGCAGGGAGGAGGCAGTCAGGGCTTTGGGCAGGAACCATGTATTAGCGTTCACCTTGGTACCCCACCACAAGCACGATGTACAAACTCCTGTGCAGAATTTTCTTACCTGAAACAGTGGTGGAACAAGCTTTATGCTACAGATGATCCTGAATGAGCTCTCCAGATCAGGAGATGGCAGGCTAAGCAGAGGCCACTCAGCAGCCTTCTCTGCAAGTATCCAGGTCCTCATAGTTACTATGACTGGTCACTGGCTCACTGTTGGAATTGTTTCTTCCTGCTCCTGATGGTCAGAGAACTTAAACAGATGATAGTCAAGGTAAGGTCAGTAGGAAAAGGCTCATTGTATGTGGGTTTGTTGGGCCATGTCCAGCCTTTCCTTCCTCCTTTTCTTTGTCTTAAGATGGGCAGTTACCAGTTCAGGAAGCTAATGAGAAGCCCCCTCCTAACCACTTCCTGTTCCCCTTCCTCAGAACCACAAGCAGCAGTGGAGGGCTGACCATCAGCAGCCTCCTTAAGGAGAAGGAAGGCTCGGAAGTAGCCAAGTTCACGCTCGAGGAGCTCTGCCTCATCTGCAGTATCCTGAGCACAGCCGAATACTGTCTGGCCACCACCCAGCAGGTGAGCTGCCCGCCACTGCCTTTTCCAGAACCATCTGGGCCTCCTGACTCAGTAGGTAAAAGTGTGGTCCCTCACAAGCCATGTACAGCCTTGGGCAGATTGGTTGGTCATAGAGGAAAACTGCAGCAGCCAGCAGACGGTCCAGGCAGCCATCTTACAGCAGAGCCTTGTTAAAAGGAGACCAGGGAAGAAAGTCTGACCGATCTCCTCCCCAGGCTAGTTTCAGCTGCTCAGAGGACATGCCCTTTTGAAAGTAGGTCAGTCGAACTGTCTCCCCTATGAGAAAAGCAGTGACAGACTTGATGCTAGGACCCGGCCACTGGTAGCGATGAGTCACAGCCAGTGACTCCGTTCTCAGAAGTGTTACGAGGCTAAGCAAAATCCTTTGGGCTTTTATGCGTCTCCTGAAATGTACACAGCATTCCCAGTCTGCCTAAACCAACAACCATTGTTTGGATGCTGACGTTCAGGAACTGTGAAGCAGGAAAGGGTGATGCTGCTCCTGGAGCTCCCCATTAGCAGAAGGAAGACCCAGAAGAATTTTTCACTTAGCCTCCAACGTGGGATTAGAAGTTCGTTTTCACATTCAGGCTGGAATTCACCTAAGGCCAAGAGAAGGAAAAGAACTAGAGAAGGTTGTGCTCTTGCCCCCTCTTCGGTTTTATTATTTACACATGTCTGGATCACAGGAAGGTAGTGATAAGTGATGGTTCAGACAGTACAGCTCGGAGTGCCTGTGAGCCAGGGCACGAATACAGGAGGCCAAAATAAGAAGTGTTCCCCCCAAAGCTTCACAGTTGAGGTTAAGCCAGCCAGAGGCAGTAGCTTGCTCTCTGTGGGGATGTGGTCACACTGAATCACACAGGGAATGATTTGGCAAGGTTTGGCCTTGGAGTCAAAGACAGTACTCCCTTTAGCCCCAAGAACTCCCAGGGCAGGACAGCAGTGTCTGTGAGGACCTCTAAGACAGAGGTCCCAGAGTTTGGTGTTGAAGAAACGCTATCTATTTAACTGTTTTGGATGTGTGCAGAAAAGGAAGGTGCACACGCGTGTGCGCGCGCATACACACACACACACACGAGTATTTTAAAAATAAAATTCAATTAAGTAAATAAATAAATAAATAATTTAAAAAATTAAAAGGTAAAATGACCGTGGAACCAAAGGGGGGAAAAACATAAAAATTATGACTCTTAATCCCATCACCATCACATAATCATATTAGCAATTTGGAGTACTTCTTTCAGTCCTTTTTCATGAACATAGTTTTGTATGCTATTATCTTAACTTAGTTCAGTCTCATATCCCTTTGTTGTTTTTATTAACATCACAGCACTAGCATTTCTCCTGTTTCTATAGTCTTCATTAGCAGCATTATTAATTGTTACATAATATTTCATTAAGGGATAATACCATTAATTATTTCACAGTATCCCTCATAATTGTTTATGCTGTTTCAGGATTTTGCTTCTAAAGTACTCCTACAAAGAACATCTAATATGTTTTACGTTATTTTTCTACAACAGATTCTTAAAAGTTTTAGAAGTACTAGTAGATCAAAGATCATTTTGATGACTCATGATAGATGTAGCCAGTTTTTTTGTTATTTAGTGAAGTTTTTTTTCTAAGATTTTATTTATTTGTCAGAGAGAGAGAGCGTGCACACAAGCAGGGGCAGCAGGAGGCAGAGGGAGAAGCAGGCTCCCCGATGAGCAAGGAGCCGATTTGGGACTCAATCCCAGATGCTTAGCTGACTGAACCACCCAGGTGTCCCTAGTGAAGATTATTTTTACTGATCATAAAAGTCATTCTTAGGGGCACCTGGGTGGCTCAGTGGGTTAAGCCTCTGCCTTCGGCTCATGTCATGATCTCAGGGTCCTGGGATCAAGCCCCGCATCAGGCTCTCTGCTCAGCGGGGAGCCTGTTTCCCCCTCTTTCTCTGCTTGCCTCTCTGCCTACGTATGATCTCTCTCTCTCTCTCTGTGTCAAGTAAATAAAATCTTAAAAAAAAAAAAAAGTCATTCTTAGCACCTATATTGTGATCTCTAAATACCATTGTCCCCTAAAAGAAACCAGAGATTCCTAGAGAATTGAGTAATTGTGGGTCTGGGAGAGGAGATGTACAAGGTGAGCGTGGAGCATCATGTCGTGCAAAAAGCAAGAAAAATATCAAAGATGGTGATGGTCATTTCAGAGGGATTCAGGAGCCATAATGGGCTTCTTGTATAAAAGGATGTGTGGATGTGTCCAAGTCTTAACTCCCAGTACCTGTAAATGTGACCCTATTCAGAAATAGGGTCTTTGAAGCTGTAATCAAGTTAGGATCTCAACAAGAGATTATCTTGCATTTAGGGTGAACCCTAATGCAATCCAAGGACTAAAATCCAATGACTGGCATCCTTAGGAAAGGGAGATCTAACCGACACAGGGAAGAAGGCCACATGAAGATAGAGGCGGAGATTGGAGTGATGTGCCTATAAGCCAAGGAACACCAAGGATTGCCAGCAACCAGAAGATAGAAGAGAGGTGTGGATTAGTTTTTCCCTCAGAACTTCCAGAAGGAACCAACCCTGCCAACACCTTATTTTGGGCTTCTGGCTTCTGGAACTATGAGAGAATAAATTTCTGTTTTGAGCCACCACGTTTTGTAGTGATTTGTGAGAGCAGTCTAAGAACCTAACACAGGAGCCAAGGAATAAGCTCTGCTGGTCAGAGGTGGGCTGTATAAACATCAATGAGAAGTTAACTGCAACGCACCGGAAACATCAGATATGTTTATATCCATGTGGTTTGATGATTTCTCTTTTCTTAGTGCACTTAGTATCTTCGAAGAGCCTAAGAAACCACTGTTATGAATTGAATACTGGTAAATAAAGGGAAAGTTCTTAACCTTTCTTTCCTATTGAACTTATACTCAGATTAAGGAAATCATTGACAATGGGAAATCTCTCTCTCTCTCTCTTTTTTAAGATTTTGTTTATTTAAGTGAAACAGAGAGCACAAGCAGGGCAGAGGGAGGACAAGCAGACGCTTAGCCAACTGAGCCACCCGGGGCGCCAGGAAATACCTCTTTATAGCAAAATTTCAGCTAATAAATGAAGAAGAAAAGAATTAGAATATCATTCTTTTATATCTCCTAATGAAATAAGGGATCTGGCATTGACCATCCATGGCTGCTGACATTACAAAAAAGAGACAAGCATCATGTATCTCCTAATAAAAGTACACAACACCAGGATGCCTGGGTGGCTTAGTCAGGTGAGCCTCTCAGCCTTTGGCTCAAGTCCTGATCACAGTCCTGGGATCGAGTCCCTCATTGGGCTCCTTGCTCAGCAGGGAACTGGATATTCCCTCTGCTTTCCACTCCCCCGGCTTGTGCTCTCTCATTCTCTCTCCATAAGAAATAAATAAGTAAAGTCTTTAAAAAAAAAAAAAAAGCGCACAACACCATCATGAAATAGGTTTTTTAAAAAGAGAGAGCGTGAGAAGAACCTGAATCTGATCAGGCTTCTACATCAAATTACAATTTACAGAAAATACAAGGAACAGAGGAACATGTTAATTAATACCTCATGGATACAATCAACAAAATCCAACCTGTGGGAAATTCTAGAGAGCAAACAATCCAGTTTCCTTAGGAAAAAAATTGCAGGAAGAGGGCAAAAAGAAATGGAAGGAGAAACCAGAGACAAGAATTGGAAAATAAAAACTTAAACAATACCAATTATCATATCGGCTCATTAATTGTGTAACACTTTTACACCTGTTGTTGCGTTCCTTCATCCAACAGCTCTTCAGGAAGCACTTACTGTGGTAAGGACCAGGCACTGTATTTGGCGTTAATTAACAGTAGTGAACAAAGTAGATAGTTTTTTAGTATATAAAATTAAATAATTAAAGGAGGAGCCAAGACAGTAATAAGTAGCCAAGATGTAACTTCAATTTTGTGGTGAGTCCTAGGTAGGGAGTTGTCTACTGAAGTAGCTGGTCAAGGAGGGCGTCTCTGAGGAGAGGTGATATTGAAGCAGAGACCGAGGGTGGGCAAAGGAGACTGTCAGGTGAGGAGTGTGGAAGGGTTGGGAGGTGGGGAGTGGCAAAGCAAGGAAGCCGGTTAGGAAGGGTGAGCAAGGAGCGTTTCAGGAAGACAAAGTAGGAAGTGTGAAGTATGAAGGTCCTGAGGAGGTGTGTGTGAACTTGGTATGTTCCAGGACCTTAAGTTACAGCACAAAGTGAAGCCAAACAGGCAAGGGGGGAAGAAGATGTGAGCCAGAGAGCCTGACAGAACCCAAATCATAGTTAGAAAGTTTGGATTTTATTTTCAGTGTAACAGGAAAAGGCCACTGAAGAGTTGAAGCCTTGAAAGCCTTTACTGTAATTTGCTTCATCGGTCCCTTACAAGCATGTGGATTGTTTCCAGTTGTCACTAACATAAACAAGATCAGAATGGAAGCTTCATGGAAAGAGTATCTTCTCTGTTTTGTTCACTTAGTAACTCATATATACTCTTGTTGCAGAGCTGGGCACAAAACAGGCTTTCTGAAAATTGTGGTTGAATTCATGAATGCTGCAAAGAGTACTCGGGGATCTTTGTATATCATACTCATTCTCGTCGAAGTCTATTTCTAGATGTGAAATTGCTGTTTTAAAGAGTGTGTGTATTTACATTTCTGCTTTTTAAACAAATTCCCTTCTGAAAAGTTACATGAATTTACACACCCCTAAGAGCATTTTTAAATTTAAGACAAAATACTCATTATTCTTGAGTTTGTGTAATCAATGGCTTTGGGAGTGTTGGGTGATTCAGTTCCCGGGATGCTTTGAGATGTTTACGATTCTTGGTCAGTTGTCTTTTTCTTTGAGGCGGCTGGGAGCGTGGCCAGTGTTTCTCTGTTTGGCTGTAGGCTGACGAAGGCAGACTGTGTTTCTTTTGTTTACCTCGGTATCCCCAACACCTTAACATAGTGGGTGGCCCGTCGTAGCACTCAGTGAATATTTGAACTGGTTTTACTACCGCTCACCGCCAGAGGCTTCCAGTACTGGTGAGCGAGCCTGCATTTAGTTCATGGAGCAGGGAGGATCCTGAAAACTGGGTTTTTTTTTTAAATTAATGAAATGAATTGTCAGTGTGTCATAAGAGACAAGTACAGCCCAGGGCGAAAGGGTAAAGGTTCTGGAGGAAGTTTGACTCCTGGCCCTGCTGTCACACCTCCATTTTCTCTTCTGTAAAATGAAGATAATAGTAGAATCTACCTCATGGGGTTGTGAGAATGAAGTGAGTTAGGACATGAAAAGTGCCCAGAATTGTACCTGAATCATCAAACTCGGTAAATATTACATGCTCTTATGATGATACTCCTTTGGATCATTGTTAAGCATGTTTTTCTCTCATTTTTAATAGTTAGAAGAAAAACTCAAGGAAAAAGTTGATGTAAGTCTGATTGAACGAATCAATCTAACTGGAGAAATGGATACGTTCAGCACGTACGTACCTTGCACATACTTGCTTAAGGCCTGCCCTTTACCCCACACAAAGCAACATGTCTTGGGCTGTCGGCTTTAGGCCACCACAGAACCTAAGAGGTTTCCAGGGCCCCCTGTTGAATGAGGATTATTCTTCAGCAGTCAGTAAGAAGAAGCATCAGAAGCTAGTGCAGCTGCCTCCCATTTGCCCTGCTCAGATGCAGTCATTTTTAGCTTACAGGGTCTTTATTGTTGCCCTATCTAGAATAACGAAAGAGAAGAAATCCTCCCTTGACCATCCCTGCAGGAAGGTCAAGTCCAAGGCCTTCTGTCTGCCCCCCACGCCACCCCAAATCTACAGAGGGCCAGCTCCACCTTCAGTGTCTTAGAACACAAAGTGTGAGCAACTTGATTTTAGCCAGGTGGGGGGAGGGGGATGGTTGGGGTAGAGGGTGTCTGTCCAAGAAGTTCGAACTATAAAGCCTTCTCAAAATAGCTCTTTCACTAGTGTTGCCTTGCAGTATTTTTTTGTGATCGGTAAATGAGATTAAGGTAGGCCATTACTAAGGAAAAATCAAGATTCTCTTCTTAGGTCATTTCCTCTCCTTTTCCCAGCTTTTTTTTTTTTCCCCCCAAGTTCTCATTTAAACATTTTGAATGAACAGGTGCCTTTAGAGAAAGAAGTGAAGGAGGGATTCTGAGTGGAGTGATTAGGGAGACTAGCCGTGAAATTTTTCGACCTGACTCAGTGGGGACACACCCAAATAAGACCAGGACATGCAAGCAAGAATGAAGAGCCAAGACGTTCCTCGTTGTCATCCATTCCTTTTTGAAAGCAAACTCGAGTTTTTCTGATGAAATGATGAAACTGATTTTGATATGGGTGCCTAAAAGATTTGGCAGGGGCTGTGTTAGTCATTCAAAAAGTTATTTCTTTAAAGTGATGACCTCCGGGGCATCTGGGTGGCTCAGGCATTAAGCATCTGCCTTCAGCGCAGGTCACGATCACAAGGTTCTGGGATCGAGCCCTGCCGTCGGGCTCCCTGCTCAGCAGGAAGCCTGCTTCTCCCTCTCCCACTCCCCCTGCTTGTGTTCCCTCTCTCACTGTCTCTCTCTGTGTTAAATAAATAAATAAAATTTTAAAAAATTATTAAGTGATGACCACGGTAATTTGTTTGATTTGCAGTGTCATCTCTAGCAGCATCCAGTTGTTGGTCCAAGATCTGGATGCTGCCTGCGATCCTGCCCTGACTGCCATGAGCAAGGTGAGGTTGGGGAAGCGCTTCTTCTTAGACCTCCAAGAGTGACTGCAGGTGCTTGCTATCATCCCTGGCCGGTGGCTTCTTCGGGTTCTTCACTGCTTCAAGTGTCAGCTGGGAGGAGACCAGAAGTCCTCTAGGAGATGAGTTTATCTTGTGCGTTAGGCCAGTTGCTTGTCCTTTGAGAATAAGACAGGGAGTAGGTATGCTTGGTAGGTCTTTGTTGAGCATCTGACACATGTGAAAAACCTTAAAGGGGTCTCACCAGAATGGGCGTTTTTGTTAGTGCTTACAGCAGTAACTTCTTACTCTTTCTGAGCTCCAGTATCAGCACAATAATATTTGATCAGATTGTGGACCTTGGTTTCGGGCTGTCATGGTGGCGAATCGGTCAGGCTCCGTCCCTTCCTGGAACACATGCTGCCTTATGTTACTGTTCGGCTTTGATGCACCCTTTTCTTCCTAAAAGGACCCAAATTCCTGAATTGCATCGACCATACAGCCTATGGAAGACTCTCTTGTTCATTGATTAATTAAGTTGGAAATGGGCAGTTCTTTCTTGATTCTTTAATCCAAATAACATGAAGCTGTCTACACTAGAATTTCTAGAGCAGGGGTCAGCAAACTAAATAAGTTTTTTATTGGAACACAGCCATGCTCATTCATGTATATATTATCTGTGGGTGCTTTTGTGTTACAATGGCAGAAACGCTTAATGGGTAAGTCAGTCATGAGACCATATGGCTCAAAAAGCCTAAAATACTGACTGACTGGCCCTATACAGAAAAAGTTTGCCAGTGCCTGTTCTCGAGGTATCAGACTCTTGTAGCAGTCTTCTAGAGAAAGAACTTCTCTGGAACCCACTGGACAGTAGCAGAGTACAGTGGAAAAAACACTGGCTTTGGAGTCAGATGGACCGAACTCTCCTCATTCTTCCTCTGGGGCTATTGAGCAAACAACTTAACCTCTGTGGGCCCGGGTGAACCCATCAGTACGTGAAATGCAGCTCTCGCCCCCCAGTGTTGCAAGGACGGGGCATGAAGAAAATGACCGGCCTGGTGCCAATCCATGTTGCTGCTCTTTCCCTCCGGTCAGGAGGGGTGGCCGTGTCACAGGTTGTGTAAGCACACATTTGGTCTGAATTTAGTTTTGTAGTAGGTTGTAAATATTTAACAAAAATAGGATGAAAACCAAAGCTTAAGCTGCAGGGTTTTACGAAGCTAAGTGGGGAGTCCTGAATTGCTGATGTCACAGAGTTTCGATTCAAAAGATTGATCCTCCCACCAATCAGATGTGGATGTGTATTTCCAGGATTCTCAGTGTTTATGAGTAGCATGTGAGCAGGCAAATTGAGGCTAACCCATTTTCTTAAAGGAACGTGGCTCTGAAGATTCATTCTTTGGTCTCTGATTATGCCCTAGCTGCCGGTGGGCATTCACTGTGTCCGCATGGGATCTGTTCCAGCTGTCATCTCTCCTGGACTGCCACACACTTTAGATCAGAATGCAGCTGGTAAAAGAATTTTACATTTACCAAAGGAAGAGTGGATTTTTTTTTTCTCAGTAAAATAACAGTTGTAGGGGAGTTTAACACTCCAGGTGCTGCTTATATGAACTGTCAGTTCATTAGTGGATTTCCCTCACACTCCCCCCTCACCACCACCCATTTCTCCCCCAGACCCACACCAGCAAATATTAACAGAGACCATACCTCCAGAATCTTTTGTTTATATCATAGGAAAACCACAGACTAGGGAACGCAGCAGCTGGGAGACCATTACTCTTTGTCTGAGTCTTCTGGAGTTCTAGTGAAATGAGATCCATGTGATGAAAATGACCAGATATAAACAAGCCAAGTGTTCACAGATTGATTCAACACACACTTAGTTATTTGTGCCTGTGTCCTGTTTTGTGTGGTTTCTTTAGGACTTCTTAAAACTTGTGTTGCAATAATACTTATTTTTGTCTCCCAATTCCATCATTTTTGCCGCTAGTTGGGCAGTTCAGTTCGGACTCTACCCAGCACAGTGCTGGGAACTGCAAAGCTGGGAAAGACATGGACCTCACCCCAAGGTGCTTAGATTTCGGAAAGTGTGGGGTAAGAGATGTGTGAGATGAGAGGACTGCTCAAATAACAGCAGTATAAGGTATGGGAAAATCACTACTGTAAGAAAAGTACAAAATGTGCCCTCTTTTAAAAGAGGAGAGCGTTCATCTCTCTGTTCATATCAAGTAGGGAAGCGAAGAAGGTCTTCTTGAGGAAGTGGCATTTTTTTTTTTAAATTTGTTTATTTATTTGACAGAGAGAGCACAAGCAACAGAGGGAGAGGGAGAAGCAGACTCCCCACAGAGCAAGGAGCCCAATGCGGGACTTGATCCCAGGACCCTGGAAACATGACCTGAGGTGAAAGCAGAGGCTTAACCAACTGAGCCACCCAGGCATCCACTTTGCCCATTTTTAAATTGGGTTGTCTCTTTGTTGAGTTGTAGAAGTTCCTTTATAGTCTGAATACTAGACCCCTTACCAGATATATGATTTGCTCCATTATGTTCTCTGTTTCTGTGGGTTGTCTTTTCACTTTCTTGATTATGTCCTTTGAAACACTGAAGTTTTTAGTTTTGTTGAAGTCCAATCTTTGTATTTTATCTTTTGGTGCTATACTTTTGGTATATAAGACACCATTGCCTAATCCAGAATTACAAAGACTTATACCTGTATTTTCTTGTAGGCTGTTTATAGTTTTAGCTCTTAACATTTGGGCCTTCAATCCATTTTGAATTAATTTTTGTATATGGTGTGAAGTAAGGATTCAACTTCATTCCATTGCATGTAGATTTATAGCCACCGCAGTACCGTTTGTTGAAAAGACTATTCTTTACCCATTGGATGGTCTTAACACTCTTGTCAAAAATCAGTTGACAATAGATATACAGGTTTATTTCTGGACTTTCTGTTTATTCCATTGATCTCTGTGTCTGTCCTTATGCCAGTACCACACTGTTTTGATTATTGTAGCTTTGTGGCAAGCTTTAAAATCAGGAAATATGAATCCTCCTTGTTCTTTTTCAAGATTGTTTTGGCTATTTTGATCTCTCGCAGGGGTGCCTGGATGGCTCAGTCACTTAAGCATCCAACTCTTGATCTCGGGGTTATGAGAGCGAGCCCCATGTTGGGCTCCACACTGGATGTGGAGCCTGCTTAAGATTCTCTCTCTCCCTCTACTCTCCCTCTCCCTCTGTCCCTCCCACCCCTTCTCTCTCTCCCTCTCAAATAATAATAATAATAATAATAATAATAATAATAGATCTCTTGCAGTGACACCACTTTTTTTTGTCTCACCCACAGTGTTCTTCTCCCTAAAAACACCACATACCTAGACTGCCTCTCTATTTTGTTATAGCTGTCTCCCCTGTTAAGCTTTGAACAGCTTTAGGGCTGTGTCTATTCATTTTTGGATCTCCAAGGCATAGCTTAACATACGTAGTATTCCCTGAATGACTTGGAAGGTAAAGAGGGCAAGAAGAAGAAAGAACTAAAGTTTGGGGACACCCATTTGACCAAAGAATGGTGACAAAGTGAGATATAGATGACCCTAGGATCGAGCTGGTAGACATAGAGTATTGTTATAGGAAATGGCAGGATCATAGATTGAAATGTTTAGGTGCATACAAGGGCTGTTGAAGATATGGTGCTCCTTGATAGTACTCAGTAATAGGGCTCCTTTTTTTTTTTTTTTTAAGTTTTTAATATTTATTTGTCAGAGAGCACAAGTAGGGGGAGTGGCAGGCAGATGGAGAAGCAGACTCCCCACTGAGCAGGGGGCCCGATGCTGGGCTTGATCCCAGGACCCTGAGATCATGACCCGAGTCAAACACAGACACTAACCCACTGAGCCACCTAGGCGTCCCAATAAAGAGCTTCTTATTTTTATTTTTTTGAAGATTTTATTTATTTGACAGAGAGAGACATAGCGAGAGAGGGAACACAAGCAGGGGGAGAGGGAGAAGCAGGCTTCCCACTAAGCAGGGAGCCCGATGTGGGGCTCAATCCCAGGACCCTGGATCATGACCCGGGCTGAAGACAGCCGCTTAAGGACTGAGCCACCCAGGTGCCCCAGGGCTTTTTACTTTAACAAGTAGCATCCTGTAGCTGATTGAAGGCAGGTCAGAAATAGGAAATGCCCACATCTAGCTATTAGCTCCCCAACTATAGACAAGAGCCCTGCTGCTGGAAAAGGAGAGGAAAACAGAGTGGCACAGCTTGGTAGAAATACACAGGAACAGCCTTAAACAGGCCAGGCCCATATGGCGGAAGTGAAATAAGAAAAAGAGTTTAATGGTCTCTCTGAAGTTCTGACTTTGAGATTACAGTAATGTTGTGGGTAAATTATGTCAAAATGACCTTTCAGTCTGCTTTCCCTCCCATATTGCTTTATTTTCTTAGATGAGTTCGAGATGGTAATAAGTTATTATTTGTGGAGCACTTTACCAGGAATCAGCACCCAAATGGAGTATCTCATTCAATTCTGACAATAAATTTACAAGGTACCTGTATTATTTCCTTGTTCCTTTCTCAGGTAAGGTTGCTTACTCAGAGAAGTCAAGTCCCTTGTTCCAAATCTCTTAGCTAGCAGGTGGGAGAGCCAGGATTTAAATTCAGGTCTCTCTATGGAGGATTGTACGATGCCATACATACAGAGTAAGAGTAAGTCCTTTTGGCAAACGTGAAAACTGAGGCAAAAGTAGCTTAAGTAATTTGCCTTAAAGTGGAAGGGCCCTAAGTTGGTGTATGCCTGGTATTGCTGGATTTATGTAAATAATCATGCTTCCCTGATCACGAGCTCTTCAAGCATCCACAAGCATCCTGTTTGAGATTCGTCTTCAGCCCTTCTCGATCTGACACCATGGCTTTCCTACAGGAGAGAAAAGGGACTGAGTGGCCAACCCAAGTATTCTAGTCTGGATATTTCTCCCTGAAAAGCAACGAACTGTCATTCTAGTGCGTTT